GCACACTGGCACTCTGGGAAGACTCTAAGCAAAGAGACCGAACAAGGGTAGAGTCCCGGTCTTCAAGCAGCTTACACTCTGGAGGAGGCCCAGTCCACAATGCTGGCCACGGGACAATAAATGTCAAGTTTGGGGAAACTATCTCCCCCTTCCCACCCCGCCCCCCCAAAAAAGTAAGGATTTATAGTCCCCGTGGGCGGGAGAAATCACCCAGAGGCAACTCTGGTATTGTGCCCAGGGGCAATGCTTGATCCAAGGCCCCTCAAAGCCAGATTTAGGACACATAACTTCTGAGAAATCTAGAAAGGGGAACTGTGTCGAGGTACAAATAATTCCCTACATTGTGGAGACCATACCTGGAAGCCAAATATGTCAGTATCTCCACTATGGAAGAACCAACCGTCTATTACTCTCCCCCATCTCACACCTCACACACACACACACACACACACACACACACACACACACACACACACCTGACAGTGACAATGAAAGCAGCAATTCCACAAGTGCAGTTTGGAGTGTGGTGACCTCACCCTGAAGCCCGTGAATGACATTCCCCTGGAGAAGCAGGACAACCAGGACCTGCTCCGTCGATGGCGACACCACAGGGCAGGCTGTGGATGCACCAGGTCTCCTGTGGGAGGCCCAGTGAAATTCCCTCTTGTTTTCTTGAACTCAGAAGGGATTCTGAGAAAGACACAGGAGCCCGACATAATGGAGACCACAGGACCAGTTTTACAGCTTGTAACATTGTCTGGAGACTGTCATAGGTGAAAAGGCCCAATGAGTGGTCTGGACTGCCCTGATATAAATTGGCTTCCAAAACTTGAGCTGCCTCTGCTGGATGTAGCACACAATGAAAAGGGCCCACAAGGTGCTCTTTCTGCAGTTGCTCAGGCTCTGCTCTCCTCTCCCGGTCTCAATGATCAGATCCAGAAGGCGAAGGAGGCAGGGGTGGGACTAGAAGCCAGGGGGACTGCTCCAGGGATATCTCTTTATATTAAAATACGAGCAATGGGAAGTAAGTGTCCTCAGCACTGTTCCCTCAAGTTTTTCTTGCACTGGGTGGACAATACTGTGGCCCCGAGCTCACCCCGATGCTGCTGCAGTCAGAGGCTGAGGGGACCGAGAGAGACACACCTGGGGCAATGAAAGCAGGCATGGTGGGCAGCTGTGTCCTCCCCATGTCTCCGCTCACACACGTCCCTCCCTGAATCTCTGGACTGCACTGGGGTGGATTGAGATCGACAAACCTGAACATGTTTTGGTTTGAGGTTTGGCAAATTCTGTAACTCCAGAGTATTTCACAAATGTTTTGTGTTCTGCAAAACCAAAAAACATTGGCCAAGCACTTTCTCCCCTAATTTTTAAGCCCATGTGTTTTTAAAGGAAATGTAATCCGTATGTTTTGGGTACATTTATATGCAACTCATCAAGTCATGCTCTTCTGTATGAGTCATCTGATGTCTCATATGCATGGGGAAGATCCTAGGTTTATAGAACTCCGTTAGCACAAGAAGGACAACAAATATGTTCAGTGGCTGGAAGATGAACCTGGTTCTGACACTGGCACAGAACCGCCAGTTCCCAGGAGATTTATAACTAAGTCTCTATTTCCCCAAACATCAATCTTTTCCATCTGCGAAATGACACTGACAATTCTTGCCCTTATCAATTCCTGCAGGCAGCTAGTGAGAATTAAAGTGTGATTCTTCAGGTCATTTTGAGCATGTTAAAGATAAAATACAAGGGCCTCCAAACTTGTCCACACAAGTTTATTTTAATCTAGGTTTCCAGAGCACTGGAGGACAAAAATGGCTTCTATCTTTAATAATTCATCCTTACCCCATAGTGGAACAAGGAGCTTCAGTGTCATTACACCACAGCTTCACCTGCTAGCTGAAAGGTCAAGTTCAACCTGTCTTCCTGGTCTTTACTAGAAAATCTCCCACTTACAGGGGCATAGAAAGTAGATGGCAAAGTCATGGGGAAAAGTCCAGAAGACAGGCTGAACATATACACACATTGTTTTCTTTCGGAAAGAGAAGGTTCTGGGTGACTTGACTGGGATTCTTAAAGTAGATGGAAAGATTTTAAAAGAAGGATTCTGTTATCCACATCCATTGAAGAGAAGTCAAGTTAACTGTTAGTACAGAGTGCACAGGCTTCAAAGTCAGGCAGATCTGGGTTTTAATCTCTGCTCCACCTTTACTGTGTGGCACTAGGAAAGTTGCTTAACCTCTCTGAGCCTCCATTTCCTCACCTGTAAAATACAGGTTGTTTTGAAGATTAGAAAGACCATAAGACAAAAGCCTGGTTCAATCACAGGTAACTTGTATAATTTCTAATTATTGCCCTGTAGATTTTGATAGGACATAACGAAAAATGTCCAGGCTATCAGAAAAATAATGAAGCATTAGAGTGGACTAACAAGACTTCATAGTTCTTTCCTGGAGACCTTGTAGGGAACAACCCAGCTGGCAGGACAGAACGTGCCTGTGAGCTCTGTCCTATGGCCTCTTCACTGTCCAGAGTAGTAAGACATTCACAGCCGTCAGGCAGACGCAGACCAGGGCCAAATGATGTGTCAAGTGAGGCAGTGAGGAGACAGGGGGACCTTAGCACTTGAACTAAGATGTCATCATAACTTCTGACCAGCAGCAAATCCTTCAAGACACAGTGGTGTTACTGGCAAGGTTCAAGAATAACTCTAATCCCCAGAGGATAGCGCTAATGTTGGTCAACACAGCCTATCTATTGCAATTTTCTCTTCTAAGTCCTATCTGGAAAACAAGGATATAAGGGGTGGGAAAAGTGGAAGAAAAAATAGAAGGCAAGAAAATAATCTCTGGAGTAATATAAAGAAAAGAAACAAATGCTAAATGCTACTGGAGTTTTGGAAGAAAGGAAAAATGAGAGTAGGTAACTCAGGTGAGTGGAGTTGGTTCCTGGAGATGGAGAATTTTGTGTAGAGCAGAAATCCTTAACTTTGGGTCATGCAACTTTTGCAAATTTGAATAAAGCTAAAGTTCTTGCCCCAGAAAAATGCACACTCGCTCATCCACACACACAGTTTACTTAAACATCTGGGAACTCACAGAAACCTGAAATCTATCCAGGGACAGCAAGCTGGAGATCTTAAATGCCCCAGAGACTTCTTTATGGAAAGACGCTTCTATTTTGAACTCTATCCTTGGCAAGGTCATTAATAAGCCCAGCACACTGATCCCTAAAAGAGAGGGAACAGGAAGCAGCCCCCAGCTATGCTCTACGACCTGGACAGAAAGGGAAACTGGTTCAGAGAAGAGGATGTTCAGGTAAATGGAAGGGACAGGTGTTCATTCTTCACTGACTAAATGCTGACAACAAAGGCCTTGGCCTTATTTTAAACAAGGAATCACCAAACAGCAAAGCCTTTAGACCGGAGTGCAGTTGTCTGTGTTTCTCCCACTAGTTGCTTGACTTAGAATAAATTATTCAACTTTGTTATCTGAAAACTGGAAGTTTAAGAGAACTTTACTCAATAAACGTGGCCTTGAAAACTTCTGAGGAAAATAAAATGTTCTATAAATGTGTGTATTTTAAATATACAATGGGGTTTCATAAAAAGGGTTCTTATAAATTATTTTGGAGGAAATGATGACCATGACTGATTCTTAGCATAAATCTGGGTTCTAATATAATGAACTTTGTAGTTCAAGAGGTAATTCTAAATGCAATACTAGATACTTTATTTTATTTTTTTTTTGCAAGATTTTTTTTTTAAGATTTATTTATTTATTTATACAAGCACTGGGTACAGTCAGAAGCACGGGAGGGTAAGAGAATTCACCAGAGCCAGAGTGGGGAGCAGAGCAGGCAGAAAGACCCAAGTACACTGCTGAGGGGAGCAGCGGGCGGCAGGAGAGGTCTGCGCGCCATGTGGGACCCTCCTCCGGTGGCCGGGAGCAGCCGGGGATCGAACCGGCGCCGCAGAGGCCACGGGCAGCTTCGCAACCCAGCGCTCAACCACTGCACCACCGGGGAGGCCCAATACTAGATACTTTATCTGTAAACACTTGCAGAGAAAATAGCAACGATGACTCTTAACAGCCTACCTCCTTCAGAGGTAAAGAACTGCCCCAAATTAGAAAAAGTACTGAACACTAAATAGTTATCACAAAGCTTACGTATTTTACAAGACATATGTGTTACATTTGCTGTCTCAGTATGGTTTATATAAAATGAAATTTTCTGATTAAATAACCTGAGATATATCTGCTTTCCTTGGCAATTTTAGTTCTCTCCTAACTCTCCCTGAATAACAGATTTTAATTTCATATAGGAAGGGTGAGATAAGAGGATTTAGAAAAGAGAATTAACCAAAAAAATACCATAGTCTCTAAGACCATTTATAATAGGAGCAAATAGTCTTAGAAATTTTGGCAATTCCTAAGCATTTCATTCTATCGTAAGCAATCTTGATGATGTTGGGTCACGAAGAAAGGTCATTTTACTAAAGCAGAAAATGCCTAATAGATTTTGGAAATACTTTCAGAGAAAAATGATTAACTTTTAAGCAAAATTTTAGTTCTATAAGATCATAGGTTTCTGTTCATGATTTCTTATCTCCTTGCCAGAGAAAATAAGATGACTCAGATGCTGTAGCCACCTACGGACGCCTATCAGAAGAAAACCACAATTTTTTGATGATAAAAATCACCATCAAGTTGGCTTTAAGTGACTGAATTACCAAGTATGATATAGGGAGAAAAATACCATGCAGGATTTGATCTGGTTATTCACAATGCATCAACCAAGGACCTTATGATTTAAGCTTTTGGGGGTCAACTGCTTAATTCTTGGATCTTCTTTCTGTCTCTCTCCTCCTGAGTCAGCACAGTGACATAACATGGGAAAACCAGAAGTCAAAAGCCACGAGTGGTTTTTGGAGGGCGGGAGTAAGGCGGATAATATCATAGAAATATCAGTGAGGGTTTTTTCCCAACTATTCTTACCTGTTTCTTCCAGAATCTCTGAATCCTTTAGCAAAAGGGTTCCGGTCTATTTTTAATCTGGTGATCTGGAAATAAACGAAAAAGGATGAATTATATTTATATTAACTGAGTTGGTTTTTTTTTTTTTTTGGTTGCCTAGAAAATTAACGAAAAGACTCTGTTAATAGAGCTGTTGTTTTTATTTCATTTCCTTTTTGTGTGCAACTTAAATTGAAGTTGACATAGTTCTTGGGCCTGGCACACAGATGTCTGACACACCTGATCCACTTCTCCCTAAAAGCCAAGATTTTCCCAGTACGTGACTCTGTAAACTCTCTCTACTCGCCCTTCTTGCCCAAAAAACGGTGATAAATGACTTGCCCAGAGAAAGCCATCAGAATGGACAACTGAGCAATAGCCAGGTCCACGCTACACACGGGTGGCACCATGATAGTGCTAGCTGATGAAGGAGCAGATGGATGAACGAGCCAATGAGTAGATCCCATCAATCCAATGGCAAGGAATCAGGACACCAGACAGCCCACCTCCACCAGTTGTCTGGGCTTTCTGGGGCTTTCTTTCCCATTGCAACTGCATTGTGCCTCTGCTGCCACTAGGGATTGTTGAATGACCTCAAGTGGTCTTACAAAAACATAAAAGTAGCTAGGCTTTGTCAAGGTTGCACACAGAGGAAAATCTAAAAACAGGTGATGGATGGAGCAGGAAGCAAAGCATCTTCTCAGTCCCCAAGGCTCACAAGCAAATCAGAAGAAACAGAGGCAGCTTCATAAGGCTGGGCGAGCCTGGCACAAGGAACTGTGCCCAGACAGGCAGGTGATCCCACATCCACTCAGCACATAAGTCCTTCTCTAATCCATTCTCTCCAATGGTTGAACACATACACCCTCATGTGTTGAGACTAGGACAAGCCTCACACCCACAAATTCCATGTATAGCTTAGCATTTCTGCTTTCAACCTCGGTCAGGGGAGTGTTTTATATAACTTTGTGAATGAAGCAGATATTGATGACTTACTACATCTGAGCAATAGAGATGGGTGGGGACTAGGGAGCCCAGAAAAGGACAGGTACTCACAATGGGGAGAAATTCTAGAAAGAAGGGAATCTCATTATTTAAGATCATCTTTCCATTTCTGATCATTGTAGAGCTTAGCACAAGGTCTGCTATAGCTGTTTCCTAAGCTGCAAATCTTTCCAAGTCTCTCTTCCCTCTCACTTTGTCCGAGTGGAATTTCCCAAAGCCACAGTCTTTAAAGGTCTTTAAAATGCAATGTGAGATTCTGACAAACAGACTCTGACTTGAAAGTACAAAGTTATTTTTCCCCCTAAACATTCCTTGCTTCTAGAATGGCACACTAATAACGTAGCCCTAATAATGTAGCCCAGGCAATTTTACATCTACTTTATAGACCAGAGCAGAGGCCTGAAGGTTTGGCTTTCGAAATTCCAGTGTCTGCTGTGCAAATACTGTGTTGAGTTAAAAGACTGTCACTGCTTTTCTGCTTTTGACTTAAAATCAGTTCTTTCTTGCTCCGTAATCCACAGCAATAAACCACACACCATATTTTCTTTTCAAGTTGGGGTTATAATATTTTATTTTCTCTTTCAAGTTGGCTTATCCTGACCAACTCGTTTATGATAGAGGTTTCTGATATATGATTGTGCTTCCATGTTTTGGGGCCCTCCACAGACCCCTGTAAATATAATGACATTCTATTTCATGCATCTGGGAGAAATAGCCAAAAATCTCTTTCCCACTGTTTAAGGGAAACTGCATGAACTGTATCTCAACCGACGAGCCAGCATGGAGATTTAATAGACAAATGCCACCAAATGTTAGGAAAAACAACACCTCCATACATGTTTCAGAGATTCAAAAGTGAGACTGGGAGAACTTACTGGAGTATGCTTAGGTTAGTTGTGACTGATTATCAAGGGCCTTTTGTGTGCAAAGCATGTAGCAGGTGGTGCTGGTGACAGCGTCCCAGATAGCCAGTATTTATCTGTATATTGTCACCCCCCCAAAAAAAGTTATAATCTAGAAGGAAAAGAATCCATATGCACTAATATTACAATGTAAACCAGAAAAAGATGAGGTTTACACTAAGAACAAAGCATGTGAGCACCTCCAGGAAGCAGGGGTCACCCACGCCAAAGAACTCTGAGGTTTCATGTTCAAGGTGACACGTGAGCCAGGCTTGGGATGATGGGTAGGAGTTTAGTGGAAAATACAGGAAGGGGAGAAAGAACACAAAAACATTAATCCAAAAGGACACCTGCACCCCTATGTTTATAGCAGCACTGTTTACAATAGCTAAGCTTTGGAAACAAACCAAATGCCCCCAAAATAGATGCCTGGATCAAGAAGTTGTGGTACATATACACCATGGAATATTACTCAGCAATCAAAAAGATAAACTCATGCCATTCACAGCAACATGGATGGAGCTGGAAGGGATCATGCTCAGTGAAATAAGTCAGAAAGAAAAAGAAAAATATTGGATGCTCTCACTTATAAGAGGAATATAGAGCAACCAAATAAGGGACCAGGGAAAAAAGGTAATTATAATAAATTTAAAATCAAAATTTAAAAAAGGTTGGGAGAAAAGAACCAGGGAAGCACTTCGTAAGAAAGGGCCTATGTAAGCAGAGCTTCAGGCAGGCAGGGCTGAAGCGTTCTCAAGACACCCGGAGGAGACCTGCTTGGCCAGAGCACAGGACATGGGGAGAGGACCAGTGAGCGAGAAGGCTAGTGGGGCTGCTGGCCGAGGGTGCATTCCTGACACTGTATTGCCCTGCTTAGGTGTTCAGATGCCTGGAGGCAGCGCAGGCCATTCCAGCCACGAGCCACCTTACAATCCCAGCAAATGACTGTCTGGTAACTATGTCTGCAAATACGGAGGGGAATGAGAATGGTATTTTGGAGGAGAAAACCAACGTATGTTCCACCTCGATATATCCCTTTTTATAATAGTCCCATGGTTCCCTTAGCAACAGCCAGCCTGGTAAACTCAGATCCTACCAGAGTCTTCTAGAGCACAGAAAGTTGAGCCATGATAATAGCAGAGCCATGAAACTCACTCCTGTGCAAGATAAGGATGTGACATGAGGTGAGGGCTCATCAGGTGGGGAAAAAGTAAAAGTCCTCGCCTTTCGTCCCAGTGGAATATGAGAAAAGAGGAGACAGACAAAAAAGAAGTGAAGCAGTAAGACTGGCACGTGCCTTAGCAACCCCCATTCAAGCCAAATCCAAGGGTGGGAGTGGGGAGACTGACAGGGGGGGCTTCTCTGCATCCTTGGGGGTGGCTGCATCAAAGTGAAAATAGCATCTATATACGAGGCAGTAAGAGGTGTGAGTTCATGTCTCCAGACTTCCCTTCTGTGGTGTGTCAGGGACTCGGAGGCACACCCCTTCCTTCACAGGGATGGCAGGGTGACCCTGACATGCTGGAGGAGTAGCCTGGGCAGGAGTCAAGCAGGGCACCTGAACGAGACCCAAGGCAAGACTGAGCCAGCCAGGGGGGCCAGTTGCTCAAGATGGAGACACAGTTAAAAGCACACACTCAGATCTGCTCGTAGTAGAACATACGGACACAAGGACCTGCCCGGCCGAGACCTCCACTGCAGAGGCCAGAGAGGCCTGGAGAACAGCGCAGAGACCAGCAGCAGCCATAAGGTGGACACAGAAGCCCACACCTCCCCCCTGCACCCACACATACATCCAGAAGCCATCGAGATTAGTGGATGAGAGGAAGAAATCTGGGGACAAAAAACAAAAACTGATCATTTACCCCAAATAAGTCAAGTTGCATGACATGAGATCTCACCCAAACAGACCTGCAAAGTTTACATTCCCTCTACCTCAACCTAGAGGTCAAAGCTTCTTAGGAAAATCAGCCACTGAATGGAGGCACCTAGAGAGGAAGGGGGAGGGAGACACAAGGGAGGAGGGAGCACGGGACTCTGGTGGTGGACTCTGGTGTGGGAGCACCGTGGGAACACAGCGCCCGAGAGGGGATCCTCTTCTTCTGAAACATCAACAGTGATGTGAACCAAGGTTACATCAATAAAAAACATTTTTGAAAAATTAACTACAGAAAATTACATATTATCTAATTTGTGTCACATGTGTTAATGTCACGATAACGTGACGACATTCTATAATGGCATATCTGCTCTCTACATGCTCTACATTATAGATCACGTAGATGTTAGACACATTCACATAGGCCACATGCCCACATTTACGTATGTCAGGCACATTTGAGAAGTCAATTTTCAACCCTGCGCCACATTCATGACGATGAATTAGACCTGATATAACTGCATAACTTCTCCATTGTAGTCCAATCACCAATGTCTCTTGACCAAACAACTCTAAATAACTTTCAAACAGATCTTCCTTTGTCCACGCCTGGCCCTGTCCAGTATCGTGTCTACACAGCAACCAACATGGTCTTTGTTAACACATACTTGGATCACGTTGTCCTCTACAGTGACGACCAACAGGCTCAGAATTGAACCCAAACTCCTGCTTGGCCCTGCGGGGCCAGCAAGTCTTGGTTCCTGCCTCTCCATGCCAGCCAACGCTCCTCACTCGGTCCACAGGCTCAGCCAAGCTGAGCTGCTCCTTGCCTGGAAGGGGCCAAACTCTCCCGGCTCAGGCCCCCCACAGTCACTGTCCCCCCAGACAATAGTCCTCTCCTCTGCCCTTCACATCATCATCTTGCTGATTCCTCATCTCCTCACTTTAAATATTATCTCCTGAAAGAGGTCTAACCATCCCTCCCAAGTATAATTCTGCTACTCCCTTTAGCTGCAGTCTCCTTAATTCTCTTTGCTCCTAACTCAGTTAATACTTATATATTTATTTCATTGTTTACAAATTTACTCTTTGTCTCTCTCCCTGGAAGACCTAGATAGGACGTAGGTCTGCCTGACACGCCATTCACTCAGCAGAGCAAGCTATCACGCACAGTCCCTGCTCAATATCTGTTCAATGAATGAGTGAGTGAATGAGTGAATGATGATGTGGGAAACAAGGATGATGAATCCCAGAGCCATAA